ARRAWTWRKWATTTAATAGMTCTAGTATATATCTATACTATCCCCACACAAAAACATACAAGAAACCACATGGGTATGAGAAATAATGCAAGAAATTAAAGATAATATGTATATATATATAGAGAGAGAGAGAGAGAGAGAGAGATACCTGAGATACCAGCAGTGCAGTAGACAAGGGCAAAGATCATACCCCCAAAAACCCAAGCAATCCCTTGAATACCAACAATACACACTTTGTGGGAGATTTAACAGCACCCAAAAAGAAGAGAAAGGAAATTAAAATATCATCAGTAGAAGTGGTTGCAGAAATCTAAATTGAAATAGAAATCAATATCATTTTGAAATAGAGAAGCGAGAGGAATAAAACAGAGATGTGAATCCATACGAAATCAAACAGAGATGTGAGAGGAACAAAATCGAACCTATATCAATGGTGTACCTGATTTGTGTTGGAGAGTATGAATCGATATGAAATCAAACAGAGAAGCAAGAGGAACAAAACCAAACCTAAATAGGTTGTATACCTGATTTATGTCTTCATCAAGAGGAGCGAGAGGAGCGTATGAGAACAGGAGTAATGACCACAAATAAAACATGCACCTTGAGAGTATGAATGCATGAATCATTGCTTAGGAAAAAAGAATCGTCCGCTGCTTGGGAAAAAGTAATCGTCAAAATCGGTGAGGTTGTGATACATAAAAACCACCATTGTCATGAGAAACGAGGTCTGTCAAGAAGAAAGGTATCTGTATCTAACCTAAAATGGTTTTGGTTGCACATGAGAAAAATTACTGAAGAAGAAGAAGAAAGCCAAAATGGTTTTGGTCTCATACATCGATCGGATACAGAAGAAGATGGAGAGTGATTACTTGGATGAGAGACTGTAAATCAATGGAGAGTGATTACCTGGACAGAAATTGGAATGGAACCGATTGATTAATGGATGAGCCTGAATCGTCATGTTTGAGGGCAAGTCATTTGAAATTTGAAATTTGAAATTTGAAATCTGAAATTGGTAGGGAGCAGAAAGCAGTGATGGGATAAGGAGAAAGAGGGTTTGACTCAATTAGGATTTGGTATTGTAGGAAACACTTGCATAAACAACTTGTACATTGTGCAATATATTTTGTAATTAARAGTTTTTTGAAAATCTTGCATAAAATGGTTGTAACTTATGCTTAAAAACTTGTATTTAAGATAATGACCTAAATGGTTATATATGTAGTATAGATAGGGGTAGGTTCAAATAAAAACCACTCAATTTATAAAAATCGTGAAAACCACATTCAACCAATCATAATTTTTCATTTTGTTCATTTTTTTGTAATTATGAGAGGTTGATTAACCATTTTTATTGTGGAGGGTGTTAATCATGGATATTATCATCTTCATTATTTTAATTTTAGAGAAATATATGAAACAGTTTCATTAAAATTTCATTAAGTAATATATGAAACAATTTCATAACCATATATAAAACAACTTCATCAAAAAARATATTATATGAAACAATTTCACAAGATTAACAATTTTATGAAAAAATTTCATAAGATTAACGACGGATGAGAGTAGTTTTTACGGTTTTTACAAATTGGAGTGGTTTTTATTTGATCGCTCTTATTTATATATATATATATATATATATATATATACACACACATATATATATACATATATATATATATATATCAAAGATATTTTGCAACAAAAAAAAATTGAAAGTTAAATATATATAGAACATTTACATCTAACCGCATTGTACGGATACACAACTAGTAATAAGAAAATGCAAATATAAATCATTGATATTGTGCTAACTCCAAGCTAATTCCAAGAGAGCTTAGATTGAACAGTAATGCTACTAGAGCTCTGTTTTTTAATTGCTCATTTAATGAGCATTTTCAATATTCATGTCTTGTTGGTAAAAGGACGGAGTGACTTTAACCAAATACAATGGTAAAAGGACGGAGTGACTTCAACCAAATACGAAGACAAGTCTCATGTAGCTCTAAATATCAGACGTCACATAAGCGTAAGCTTCATCATAGCAACGACATATTTCGAGAGCAAGAAAAGACACAAGATTCACGTATGGCATAAGAAAAGCAGAGAAACTTCTCGATCAACATTTTGACAACGACCACTACAATCTTCTAATCATCGTTCCGAAAGCAAATATACAAACAAACGAGAAATTGGTGGTATAATTTAAAAGGCTAACTAAACTATTAGCAGCTTACAAAACTGTTGTGCTGTGAAGACTTGTTTGTTATGCAAGGTGCTTCATCATATAAGGACCTTCAAGCTCGTACCCTAATTTCCGATAGTAATGGCGGGTGCCGACACCCGAAATAACCGCTATCTTCGTCGACCGATGCTCCCTACGAGCAATCCGTTCAGCCTCCTCCATAAGCAGTGTACCATACCCCTGCCAAATCCAACATCTCCAACCAGTTACACCATTTTTAACATCAAATAGAATATTTCCAACTGATAGATTTTCAATAATACTCTTTGTTATTAACATGCTGCTGTTTAAATTTACTTTCCAGTTATGTATCTTTTTATTTCCTTGCATTAAGGGGGGGGGGGTTTGGGATTGCTTATTTTAAACAACTTATGCTTTTCTACAAAAGCACTTATCAACTTGTTAGAAGTCAGAAGAGTTTAACTTCTTCAAAAACTCCTTATTACCGGTTTGACACCGGTATAAGTTGTTTATCCAAGCACTCAAAAATGTTTATTACCGGTACCACACCGAAATAAGTCAATAAGCAGTTTTTATAAGCAATCCCAAACAACCCCTAAATGGTGTGTTTTAAATTAAGTATTTAACAGTGTAAATAAGTTTGAAGCACAAAAATGAAATTTATTATCTATCACTAATTAATATGATATTGACAAGTATTATAACCAAAATAGTGTTAAATACAATTTTGGTACCTGTGCTTTACATAAGTTAACAAGTAAGGTCCCTGAAAGAAATTATCAGCAAAGGACGTCCCTATAGTTTTAATTTTGTAACGGATATGGTCCTTCCTTTAACTCATTTAGTTAAATTTCCGTTAGTGTGAGAGCATTTTTGTCTATTCACCTTTCTCTTTCCTTAACTTCAATTTTCAATAACAAATTTGATCCCTCATACTATTTTTACTTTTGTAACATATTTGACCCCTCAAACTAATTTACATTAGTATAACAGATTTGGCCTCTCAAACAATTTTTTATTTATACAATAGATTTGGTCCCTCCCTCAACTTTCACTTTTAGCTATTGATCCCTCCATTTAATCAATAAAAGTTGGTGGCACAAACTTATATTTTCTAAGTATTCCAATCAGCAAAATGATTAAATAGAAATTGAAGCTGAAAGTTGAGAGATGGACCAAATCTATTATAAAAATAAAAATTTATTCGAGAGACCAAATTTGTTATACTAATGTAAATTAGTTTGAGGGACCAAATATGTTACAAAAGTAAAAGTAGTATGAGAGACCATTATGTTACAAAAGTAAAAGTAGTATGAGGGACCAAATTTGTTATTGAAAATTGAATTTAAGAAAAGAGAAAGGTGAACAGACAAAATGTCACCTCACTAATGGAAACTTAACTGAATGAGTTAGAGGAAGAACCATATCCGTTATAAAAATGAAACTATAGGGACATCCCTTGTTAATAATTTCTTGCAGGGACCTTATTCGTTAATTTATGTAAACCACAGGAACCAAATTTGTATTTAACTCACCAAAATATAATTTACAATCAAATAAACTAAAATTACATAAATATCAAACTTGAGGGACCATTTTGTAATAGAAATAGTTAATGAATAAAACACCAAGATGGTGTGTGATTGGTTTTAGGTTAAATGGTGTAAAAAATAGGATTTCAATGTTGGGTTTAGAGATGCTCTAAGGGTGCATTTGGTATCCGCATACTGGAGTGAAATGGACTAAACAGGTGAGAATGAGGTAGGCATGTGAAATGATTGTTGAAGGTTTTTTAGGAGTTCAATTTGATAAGGGCAGTTCAGCAGTTTACCAGTTATGTCTCATTCCCTGATTTATACTCCACCGACCTCGGTGGGGAAAAAACGCATTTATGTCCCATTCAGTCGGTCTTGTCCCAATATAAGATCGTACCAAACGTTATTGTCCTCAACAATTAGTGTACCTGATGTTGCAGTTTATCAGCATCACGTCCATGTACGGGAACAGCAGTTCCGTAAACATGAAGTTCACGAACAATGGAGCATTTTCCAACGAGTTCTGGGCAAGTAACGTTCTTGCCACACCTTCGCAGCCGCAGTAATCCAACAAGAATATCCTGCATCCATAGAAAATAAATCAAATAACATACATATCCACATTGGAAATAAATCAAATATATAAATGATAAAGGAACAACAATGTTGTTGCGTATGCAGACGGGACGAATGAGAATGAGGTAGTCGGTTTTAGGGTTTTAACTTTACATGGGTTGTTTCGTAATTTACCAATCTTATCTATCTCCCAGATTTTTTGTCCCAGTCTAATGTAGTGCCAAACGTGGGACAAGTTTTTGTAATATCCTGGCCCGTACACCAAACGCACATGGAAGAAGTTCATGATGGACATAAAAAGTGGTTCCATTTTTACCTGCCGTGTGTCTTCATATGAAAGAAAAGTTTCCCATCCCTCGTTGGCAGTATAATCTCGCCGAACAAGCTGAACCTCATCCGGCCTTATCTTGTGATGAATGTCCTGAAAGTAATAAAGCAGAAGGGAAGTATAAGTGAGTCTGACCCATTGTACGATGATAACTACTCCCTCCGTCCCAAAATAAATGTACACAACGAAAAAGGCACAGTTTTAGAAATATGTAACTGTTACACATTTTAATTAACATTTTCCCATCTCATAATTAAGGGTAAAATTAGAAAGTAAGCACTTACTTTTGAAAGTTGACACTTATTTTGGAACAAACTAAAATAGAAATGTAGACAGTTATTATGGGACGGAGGGAGTACGAAAAAATGGCAGCATTCAGAAAAAAAAATATTGCTTACTTGAATCCCAGCTTCACGTGTTCGGACATCCCTGCATTTTAAACCCAGATCATCCATACGAGCTAAAGCAAGCTCTCGAAGATTCCCTTTTTCAACACCGGAAGTAACTAGAGGCATAGGAATATCCCTCTGAACTCTGTAAACACGCGTCCATGGGGGTACCATGGCCAGAATCCGAGCTACAATGTCCACAAGCTGCTCTGGAGGGTAATTTCTATACCTGCAAATCAACATGATTTGAAAGTCATATTGTCGCAAATTACTGCAAAATGATACAAAAAATAAGTATCCACGTTTCTATATTAGTTTGTTGATCTCAAAATAAGTATCCACTTTCAAAAGTAAGAGCCTATTTTCCAATTCTACCCTCAAGTATGATTAAGGTTACAACTGTCATTTAGTTAATTAAAATGTGTTAATAATTACATATTTCTTTTATTTTGGGACGGAGAGACTAGAATGCTATACCTGCCAGTTTTCCAGAGCTCATAAAGACCCGTTCCACGAATAACAAGTGTTGGATAAATTTTAAGCCCATCAGCTCTAAAAGAAGGACTCTCAAAGAACTCCTTGAAACTTTCCATGTCCCTCTCAACCCCCACATTCGGAAGATCAGGCATCATATGAGCAACCACCTAGGACAGCCGCTAAAAGTTTAGTACAATAGAAAAGAAGAATTTTATATTTAACAAAGGAATTGATTTAAACAAAATTAACCCAACAATATTTGACCTTAAAACCAGCATCTTTAGCCAAAGAAAAGCAATCAGCAACAGCTGCCACAGTGTGGCCTCTATTGGTGTCACGAGCAACATCCTCATATGTGCTCTGAACCCCGATTTCCAATCGCGTACAACCATAAGAAAGCATTTGCCGCAAATGAGGCCCAAGACAGTAATCTGGCCTCCTAAAAGAAGCAGAACAACGGTCATATTAAAGCAATAAAAAACATAGTTATTGTATTCTTTTTAAGACAAACGTGTCAATATCAATTAATAGATATTGACCATGATTTAGTCACCAACTAAATTACCATTTAGCATCTAAATATGACATGAAATTCCACTTACGTCTCAATAGTCATCCCAATACATTTTGTTGCACCATGCTCAGAATAAGCAACCGCCTCTTCAACATTTGCGGAAGTGTGCCCTGACAAAGCATCATGAAGATTCCTTATGAAGTAGTCTCGGTATTCAGCAGGCAATGACATAAAAGTGCCACCCATCAAGATGAATTCAACCTGGATCAATCAAAAGGGTAAGTTTCCATTAACAACACTGAGAATCGTCGAGAGACCAAGATAAATATTCGATACATGCAAAATGGCATTGTGTCAAACCTTATCTACACTGTGACCCAGTCGCTTCAGCTGGTCAATCCTGCTCCTGGCTTGGACATATGGGTTGTATCTGGAAGCATAAATCATGAAGGCAATAATCAATATATATGTATATATATATATCAAAAGTTTATATAAGAGTTGCATTTAAAAATTGCAGTATAATAAGAAATCTTTGAAGGCCCAATAGTGAATACACAAAGACAAACGATATTTTTCTACAAAAAAATCCAGCACCCAAGATATTGGAAATAAGATGAAAGGATGTCCTCCTTCGAAGTATACAACGCGCTTTTATATATAATTGGCAAGTCCGCAAGTGAAATAGAAATAAATCCATATATGGTTAAGCATGCAAGCATATATGCAAGGGATCTTGGAATCTGTAAATTAGACAAGGCATTAACAATTGGAGAAGATGATTTGTAACGTTAATCTGTGAGGCAACATGTAACGCCTTAGATTTTGCAAGGCAGAGGTCCGCACAACTTGCCAGGCAACTTGGCCACGGCTCTAGTCGCGTAAGCCTCTGGAGAGGTAACTGTGTGACCAATGCCTTAAGGGGAGCCGCGTCACCAACTGCGTAACCCACTGTCCTTGCACCTTAATTTGGGCACAGGCGACTTGGCCAAGGTCGCAGGCGCAGTCTGTTGCAAATTTACTGCTCTTTTTGAGCTAGAGTTTGGCATTTACTCAGCGTTCTCCCATTAAAGGCAAATTTACTGCTCAAGTTGCATTCATGAAGTCATCTTAAAGCTATGAAGGTTATTTTTGGCTTGCTTACTTAATTGGTATCAAGTCTGCACACATTTGGAGAAAATACACTACTTGTGATTTATTTATCCTTGCTAGTTTATGAATCATGTTGTTAAGCTCTTATTGGTACTGAGGCATGAAAAAGAGAACTTATATGATATTGAATGACTGTGGCTTGCTAACATATTTGGGCATATTACACATAGGAGTGTATATTTATTGAGAATAAATGTCCTTGGATGTATTTACTAATTTCAAGTTGTAATCTATAAGGATGGTATATACTTGATGGTATCGCCCCTTCATTGAGAAGGTTGCTTGAAATTGAGACCCTAAAGAGTAGGCATTAAGATAATCGAGTCTTGAGGTGGTACCTGGAAGGGTATGCACTAAGAACCATGATTCTTGAGGTGCTATCTGAAAGGGTAGGCGCTAAGGATATGAGCCTTGAGGTGCTACTCGGAAGGGTAGGAACTAAGATCAATTGAATCTAGAGGTGAAACTCAATTAGACGTTGGTAGACACTAAGGTTTTGAGTCCTTTAGCTGCTACGTGGCAACATTGAATTAGTGGAATACTTCTGTGTCCTTGTCACGATTGACAGAAATGAGTCTCCCATGTCATCTTGAGATGGAACGAACATTTGAGGCCCATTTTATTGGTGCCATGAATGAGAGACCAATGTTCCTTAACTCGTTCTCAAGTGAAGGACCATTGTTAGTTAAATAGCATCTGTTCCTTCTTCATTAGATGTCGTATAAATTGTTTGGATTCACTAGGCTTGTAAGCCTAGTACTCTTTCTTCTTGACATGTACCTCAGATTCTAGTAGCGGCAGCACTGCGGAGAGTTGACTTGGTGCTTATTAGAGGCACGTAGCAGAGACGCCGGTGTATTTTAGAGATGACAACTTTTGGCGGTTTTATTGACACCCGATTGTCATCTGGTTCGTCTATGAATCAGATTAGAAGGTTGTAACCTCAAACCCATTTATTGTACATGTAATTAACTGGCATTGATCCCCTTTTTGGGTGGAAGCTCGTATTCTGATTTTTTGTTACCAAGTTCTTGATGTTGTTTTTCTCCCAGTTTTTGAGGTGTTACACAATTAAAGACGGTATTCAAAGACACGAAGTCAACACATGAGGTAGGATTGTTTCTTTCTCTCCTCCCTCCATCCCTTTGGTTTGTCTATGATATTCTGTTTTGTTCAATATCAAGTGTCAGCCTTTACTTGGTGTTCTTTACCCATGACCTAATGTAGAGAGACTTTAATTTCCCACAACTCACCAAATTTCACAAGTAGAGCACCCTTCCATAAATTACCAAGGCTTTGCATTGGCAGGAGCATTGTCAACCACAAGGATGTTTAGGCACCTCACAGCAATTATGATTTTTATTTTGTTGACATCTTGTGAATTCTGAGTGCAAAAATTTGTCAATATCCAACCAAGATATTAAAAGTGTGTGACAACACATCCCACATTGACAAAAAGTGAGAATTGTGAGCTTGTAACGTTTCTTTATTTTTCTTCTAGTTCGCATTTATTCTATTTGAAATATACTTGTACAAATTTCGTGTTCAATTCCATTCATGTTTATTTGGTTTCTTCTATGTTTCATATTGTACTCATCTTGCTGGTTATATTGTGATATTTCGTTGATAATTAATTGTCTCATTTGTTTCATGTGTTTGGCTTTGTTTAATATATGCAATTGTTGATCCTTCAACCATTCTCATACCAATGTCCTTGTTCTGTAAAACTTTATATTTGAGAGCCTTTGTTTTGATATGTGTTGTTGACATATAATGTGATAAACTACTTTTCTATCTTCCAAATTAATAACATCTTGATGCATGGTGAATATACAAGGTGTTGTGGTTGGTTTTTATATTCTCTGTGGACACCAGTAACCCTTTTGTTAAATTAGGGAGAAGGGGAATATCGATTTAACCATGTGTAGGGGTACTATAGACATGTCCTTATGGTGCCAATGGGATGCGACGATACATGAAGGCTTTTGTGATCTAATGATCTTTATTTGGAGGTTATTAGGTCTGTTAGCTGCTTGGAGCTTTACAAATGGTATTAGAGTCAATCTTCGTACCATTAGGATGATATGGCAAACCTCATCAAGCACGATGAATCCCTAGGGGGTGTTTGTAACATCCTAGACAAACATCACGTTGCCGATTACAAGGAGGATGTAAGGTAGGCATGACCAAGACATAGAGAATTTAAGTGGGGGATTCATGACAACTCGTCTCATTTGTGACAATAAGCATTAAGTAGGGCTTACTTCCCGTGAGTTTTAAGGTAATTTGAAAGCTATTGGGCTAGTAAAATCTGGTCGTTACGGTGCTCATTTTATATAACCTAATTTCCAAGGTCCCCTCGTTTTCAATTGTATTCTGCAGCAAAGACGCAGATGCAAATGCAAATATAGGGGTAACGTATTATGTACAGTTTCTAATATGAGTATATGCTGCAAATGGTAACAACCTAGAAATTCAAACAAAATAAGTAGACACTAATTTGACATGATCGGAATCCAAATCGGTACCTGGCACGAATTGCTCGCATGCTAGTCGGCTCGTATCCGGTATAAGACTGTGTGCTGTACTCAAAATCAGAATCAGGCCCACCGGGACAATATACACATATATTCCCAGTTGTGGCTATATGCGGGCACCGATGTGGCTTAGACATGACCGCCACAACGGCAATTCCAGAGGCGGTTCGGACGGGCTTCGCTCGAAGCTTCGGCAGGAGAGCCTCACGCTCAGAATCAGGGAGAGCGGCGATCATTTCAACGAGTTTAGGAGCACGTGATAGGCCGTATTTGCGACATGCGGCGGATTTTAGGGCATTTAGGTCGACACTCTCGCCGTTACGAGAGAGCTCTACCATGTTGTTGACGATCTCGGCTATGGCTCTAACTCTTGATTCTTCCTCGGTGAGTCCCTGAGAGATGACTCCACCGCGGCCTGGCCGCGGAAGCTTTCTTGTGTCGGTTGCCACCATCGCTGTCGCCATGTTAGTTTGACGGGAAGAGGTGCGGAGGCAAAAGCGTGGTATGCTAGAATAAACACAGAAACAGTAATGCCATTATGTAATCAAATTACCAGAAGTAAAAATAGAAACATTTGAAAATTATTGGTGTTGAGGTATCATATCTTCGAGCATAAATGAACAATACTTGATAAACGTGTATGATAAAATTGTTGTTTGACAACAAAAGTCCTGTGGATTCTCTAATTTTAAAATGGAAGGCGGTAATCCACAATCTACATAGTCCACACCTGCAGTCCAGGAGAGATATTTGGGAGCGGATGTATCAAAATGGCTAACCTTAACGTTGTGGTTTTAGTGTGCATATGCAACATTACTTGTCGTTTATCTTCCAGGTCTTTCAGTTTTATACTAAGCATATCAGGAATTTGAAACTTACTATGCTCCATTTTTTATCTAGTTGAATATTAGAAACAAAATGACACCACTATCTAGTGCTTCTGCATTTTGCTTTACATGAAGCACTTCCCATGAGGGAAAACAATCTTACTATGTATTATTCTTGGTGAAAATTTATTTGACCATTGTATTAACAAACCCATTAAACTTGCTATGCTCCCTTATTTAGCTAGTTGGATATTAGAAACAAAATTACACCACTGGCTAGTGCTTCTGCATTTTGCTTACATGATGACGCACTTCTCATGAGAGAAAAAAAAGAATCTTGATATCCATCTTTGTTCCATCCAGCAGTGGGATTCTAACTATGCAGTCACTCTGTGCACGTTTAAATCATATCTAACAATGGCAGGTTCGAATAAAATGTAATCAAATTCAAAAATAAACAAAAAAATCAGCTACTTAAGCAGCAACCAGATAACTACATCTTCATTGCAAGCCATTAGCATTAAGCACTAGGCAGCGACAACATTATGGCGGTGCTCATTAGCTGATCAACAGAAAAGGCCGGGAAAAGCTTCAAACAATCAAATCAAATTAAAATCTAATTAAAAAACTCATTATTTAAAACCTAATTTACATACCTACATGTTGGTAGTGGTGGAATCTGATGGTGCTAATTCACTACCAAATTGCGAGTTGTCGTCCCTAAATAAGTAACAAAACAAACAATAGGCTTTGTCCATTTTCACGCTATACCCAACAATACTCATCAAACCACATGGAACAAAACGTCTTAGTTTGGACCCTATTTTCTAATTGGAAAGACATGACCACGGGTTGGCAAGGTCCTCTAAGCCAGTATAGTCGTCTTATTTCATCTCTTTGATTAGAGTGGTAAGTCAAAAATATCAGTCGCTCAAATAGATAGCAAGGAAGATTATCCACATATATTGTTCTTGGTGTATCAATAGAAGCATTTGTAGTTGGGGCTCTTGCTGCGATTGTAGTTGTAGCATTGGTAGAAACATTTCTAGTTAGGGCACTTGCACCCGATTCCAATGGAGCTTTTCCTGTTTAAAGTTTGTCCATATGATGATATGAACTTATCAAAGCTAATCAAAACAATATTTAAGACCCAACAAATTAAAAATATAATAACAGTATAATTATTTAGGTCAAAGACTATTAGATTCTACTAATATCAAACTCAGGGCAAATGACTAACATCAAATTTCGGGAAAGCAAAGAAATCACGTACACAAATCAACGAAATCATGTAAACATAACTGATAGTTGTATAAATTAATAGCTAATCAATTTTGGGAAATGACTAATATCAAATTTAGGGCAGAAGTTTAAATTATAGTTAGGTTTTGAGATAAAACCTGAATGAAAGATTGATAGGGTGATTGAGTGAGTATGCGAGAGTCTGAGAGCTTAAGAGAGAAGTCAGCGAGTGAGTTACCGGCCGGAGTGGAGTGCGTCGGCGGCTGTGGTCCGAGTGGAGAGCGTCCGTGCGAAGTTCGAACAGCCGAACAGGATGTTTTTAAAAAGTTGAAACATGAAGTGTGTATTTGAGAGGGTTTTTTTAATATTTTCTTTCTTCGTATTTTTTTAATTATGATTTTCATTTCTTTAGTTTATAATTTATTGTTATTTTTATTCTTATAATTTATTTTTATTTTCGTCTATATAGTTTATAATTCTTCACTATTTTAATCCCTCATATTTAAATATTAGCGTCAGGCTTAGGGACAAAAATAGCAACTGATTACAAACCTTGTGATACGTGGAGCGCATGAAGTAATGGTTAGGGGTTCGGTTCAATATCAATGGATGTATCCCTATAGAAGATGTATAAGGTCGTTGAAAACAATAATGAGAAACAAAGCAAGGGTAGAAAAGTCGATCGTGGAGGCATATTTGGTGAATGAACTATCTACAGGGTCGGCCCTGGCCATAGGCCCAAGAGGCGACGGCCCAGGGCAGCATGAATCCCAAGGGCATCAAATTTCTAAAGCCCAATGTATTATATAGGTTCGGCTTCATTTGGGCTTAAAAAAATTACCGTTACAGTCCAGCCGGCAGTCCACGCACGTCCATCATCGACTCTCGCTCGCCTTGCCTACGGCCTACCTCGCTCTGTCGCTCACAGCTCACTCACTCTCAATCGCAAATGGCAAACGCTCTCACTGACTCACTCTCAATCTCAATCGCAATCGCTCTCGACAAACGCTCTCTTTCTGCCTGACTGCCTCTCTCGAGTCTCAACTATTGACTCTGTCCCGACTGCCATTGCCCGTCGGTCTGTGGCTACCTACCAGCGTCTCTACTCTCTTGTCGCTCTCTGCGGGCTTGCGGCTCTATCGCTCTCTCGTCGCTCTCTACTCTCTAGAACAAACTATTGTCTACTGTTGTTGTGACTTGTGAGGTAAGTTGTGTGAGGTTAGGGAAACTTAACTTAGGGTTATTTTATATTTTTATTACTTATTTACTTTACTTATTTTATGTTTTGATTTTCTAATTCTTGTTTGATTGCAAAACCTAATAATAAAAAGAAGTTGTGAAATTGGTCACTTTCACTTACTATTTAGAAATTAGGGCTGTGAAATTGATGCTTATGTTTTCTCTTTTATCAATTTGTCCAGGTTGCTTAATCATTCCACTTTCTTGGCAATTTCACAACCACGAAGGACCAAATCCAGGTGTTATCTTTCTATTCTTTATATGGTATCATTTGTTTAACAATTTAACTACTTAAGTTATGTTGCCTCGATCACAACCATCGGGTGCTCAAAATAGGAAAAGAAAGAAAAGGCAAGAAGAAATTGCTCAATCTTTGCAATGATATTTAAATAAGTTTATTGTTAGACAACCAAATGTTTCTGAAAATRCTAGTGATAAAAATGAAAATGCGTGTGATGCAAATGCTTGTGATACAAATGCTTGTGATGCAAATGCTTGTGATGCAAATGCTTGTGATGCAAATGTTTTTGATGCAAATGCTTGTGATACAAATGTGTTTGATGCAAATGCTTGTGATACAAATGCTTGTGATGCAAATGCTTGTGATGCAAATGCTTTTGATGCTTCTAATGATGTTCGTTTGAATATATTTGATCCAAGAATTTGGGATATGTTAAATTCTAAAATGAAATATTTGCTTGTTGAAAAATGGCCTATTAGGGAAACTAACATCAATTTCCCTAGAGATAATATAGGTAGACACTTCTCTGATGAAATTCTTTGGTTAATGGTGAGCTTTCAAGTTTTGAGTTTATTGTAAGTTTGGTTATTTGGCATGAAATTCTGTATATAATTAATTTAGTTAACAAGAAGTTACAGTCTAAAGATATGCTTCTTGATGTTGCAATACAAAATCTAAAGGGATTAGTTGAATATTTTGAAAATATAGGAAAAATGGGTTTACATGTGTTATTCGTGAAGCTAAAAAGATTGCAAGTAATATTGGAATTGAACATGAGTTTGATGTAAAACGTTTTTTCTCAAGGAAAAAACAATTTGATGAAATTCCAAATACGGAGAGAGAACAACAATTCACTCAAGAGACATTTAGAATTTGATTATTTTCTTGTTTTAGTTGATATGGCTCATTTGCAGTTACGAACCAGATTTGAACAAATGCAAGAATTTGAATCTATGTTTGGCTTCTTGTTTGATGGGCGAAATTTGATTACTTTACATGATGACAAGTTAAAAAAATGTTCTTTGAACCTTGAACTTGCTTTAACAAATGGTAATGATTCTAGTATTGATGGCAAATATTTGTTTATGGAGTTACAAGTTTTGCAGGGAATGCTACCAGAAGAGGCATCTAAAAGTGGAAATCCTTGGACATCGATACAAATTATGGAGTTCGCAAAGAAAATGGACATATTTCCACATGTCTTGCTTACTTACAGGATACTATTGACCGTATCGGTCACCGTAGCATCTGTGGAAAGAAGCTTTTCAAAGTTAAAGTTGTTGAAGTCATATCTACGGTCTACCATGAGTCAAGAAAGATTGAACGGGTTAGCAATCTTGAGTATTGAGAGTAAGTTTTTAGCTAGTATTAGTTATGACGAAGTGATATATATTTTTTCTTTAAAAAACGCAAGAAGACATCGTTTTAGGTGAATGGTGATGTACTTTATATTTTGTTACACGGGGTTTTGATTTATGTCMCCCCCCCCCCCTTTCATCATTTTTGTTATATATAAAGGGCATTTTTTTGACTTTCTGTCGTGGGCATCCAAAATCTTAGGGTCGGCCCTGACTATCTACCTATTGCTCCTATTTTAATACAACAAAATGAAAGAATAACATCCATGGATATAAATGAAGCCATGGATGAGCCACTTTGTCTTGTCAAAAAAGAAGAAGTCATCAAAGTTGACAATGATCGTTGTGACAACTAGCATATCAAAAGAGAGTTCTGACGAGAAAGAAGAATTTAAAGACTCGGATAGTGACTCAAAAAATGAAGAACTTAACTTGTATGATCCTCGTCTGATTAGATATTTTGTTTATTTTAGTCTTATTAAATTGTGTTTAGGCATTTTAAAGCTTTATTATTTAGGTGTTTTTGAATCTTGAATGTGGCATCTTTCTGATTATTTACGTATAAAGTGTTTGTGTTTGATTGTCTTATCAACTAACATTATACTTGAATTTCTTTTGTATGTTGTCTAACGTTGTTTTTCTAGGCTTCAGTTCATATCATGCACCCCAACAGAACGAGGTAGTTGTTTTTGTAGTGGACACTCCGGCAGCAAAAGCAACAGGTCATTCAAACCTGATGACTAGGAGACTGAGGCGGCTTGCAGGCCAACTGCTCCGGAGCAGCTACCCAACCACCCTTCAAATAGGTTGTGGTTGAAAACAGATGGTGGAGAGTAAGGGGCCGTTTATCAAACATTTACCCGGTAAACTCTTACCAGTAAAATTCAATACTATCACTTACTTATTAGGTAAGTTTTTAGTCGACAAAAACGACATTTTATGCAACAATTTACTCGGTAAGCGCTAAGCATGGTAAGAGTCGTCGTTCTCACTTACCAGGTAAGACTCTCGGTCCTTGCCTCGCTCTTATCGAGTAAGATTCGTGGTCTTTGTCATATTCATTTAGTAAGGTAATATGACTTGGTAAGCGTTTACTCGGATAAGCGTTTGGTAAACTGCCCCTAAGTGTTCTATTTATTATTAACTATTCTTGTATGAATATGATAAAATGATCATAATGCTAATTGATATCAATTATGTAGTTCCATAGATACGCATGTCGTTTGATGGCTCGGATCGACGAACCAATCCACGATCGACACTACCTAGTGTACTTTAGGAGAACTCCCTCAAGAGGTTCAAACCCGTATGTGGGAACGGTTCCATGTTTGTATTTATCTTATTATATTTAAAAAATGTTTTATGATTCCTACCAACTTTTCTAATTATGTATTTGCAAAGGTTC